AATTAAAGTGATTATTACGTTTTGAATATGGATATTTTTCTTACAAAAATGCATCGATTCGCTACAGAAGGCCTTTGTTCACCCCCGGAGCCGTGTGAGACACTTTTTTTTAATGGATGGGCGCTTTTTATTAAAGTGCTTTTGGACTGATGCATGCAACACCCGCTGAGTGGCATTAAACAGCTTGAAAGATCAAAGACAATTTTTAATATAACTCCGACTGGATTCGTCTGAAAGAAGAAAGTCATATACACCTAGGATGATTTGAGGGTAAGTCATTTATGGGCTAATTTTCATTTTTGGGTGAACTAAAACCTGTAATGCAATTTCATTAAAACAATCCAAGAATGCAGTAAATTTTAAATCATCCAATATGGGAAATGTCAGTTTTGATTGTGAAGTGTGTATTTCTTTTGAGGTAAAACACTATTTTCGACATTGATAATAATCAGAAATGTTTCTTGAGCAGCAAATCAGTATATTAGATTGATTTCTGAAGGATCATGTGACACTGAAGACTGGAGTAATGATGCTGAAAATTCAGCTTTGATCACAGGAATAAATTACATTCTACAATATATTCACATAGAAAAGAGTTATTTGAAATTGTAATAATATCACAATATTACTGCTTTTACTTTTTCAATCAAATAAATGCAGCTTTACTGAGCATAAGAGACTTCTTTCAAAAACATTCTAAAATCTTACCGGACTCAGAAGTGTACAATAGTTACACATTTAACCTTATTCGACAGATTTAGTGATTTCCCAACTAAAAGTGTCCTTTAACAAAAACTTCATCTGGCCTCCGTGACTCATGTGTGATTTGATTTGCCCACCGTACCACCTGACCATACATGTGGTCATGTGCCTTGTGACTCATGTGAGTTGCCTCACTAGTGAGCAGATGAAGCTTGCCGCGTGTTCACTGCTGAGAGGACAACACCAGCCCTGCACCGCTGAAGATCAAAACGTCAAACTGATACCACATCAACTCAGTTCTGCCCCCTGCAGGCTGGAGTATGTAGCATAATCATCTGACTAACTGCACTAATCATCGTGACTAATAATCATGTCCTAAACTAGAATAACTTTATGAATGAAAAATGGGTTTGTTTGCAGTTAGGAATAATGTTTTTGGTCCCCTCTGGTCACCTCACAACCTATTTTCTTTGTCATTTTTAAATTAAACACTCAAAACTTTAAACAAACACTAACTTTGAACTAGTACAGAATAATGTGATTTGACCGAGGAGTAACAAAACAGGGAACTACGTTAGTTCCCGGTGTTGTTACTCCTCGGTCAAATCACAGAAAACATGTAGTAAATCTCAGTTCCTCTTCATCTTTATGTAGTAAAACTGGAAGAGTCTGTTCGCTAAAGTACATATTTTCTATAAGAATTATTATCAGTCATTATGAAGTTCCTCTCACATATTCACTCCGTTCTGATGATAAATATAATCAATATAACTCATTTTAACCTTAACCTTCTTTCTGAAACTACCGTTTTGAAGGGAGTCAGTGTGCAAACCAGGTCTAAACCCCAGAGCTACAATGTTTTGTGTTTCTGTGGCTGAATGAAAGCAAGTCAAATGTACTCGTCGAACACACTTCACAGCCATTAGGAGTCATACTGTAGAATTAGGCAGCTTAACACATGTGACAGGCCTTAAACCATGTCAAACCATCATGGTAATCCCACGGTTTCATTTAAAGAAAAGAGGAACTGAGTACGTATTGATGAAATGCCCACTGTTACTAAATAACCCTGAACGGTTCTGTATTCTCATAAAGAGAAAGTGTCGGTAAGTCTTTTGTTTAATAATCGATCATGATGGCATTTGTCTTAAAACTGAGGGAGCTGCCTATCTAGTGAACAAACCTTCCAAGAGTGACTAAAAATGCTGTCTAGATGGGTTTTGAGCTGGATTCTAGGATTCAGATACGCAGTTTATCAGCCATCGACCCCACAGCGGTCGACCACACAAAGTACCATGTCAAATCCAACGCAAACCTTTCAGATTAGACGCCGGACAAGGGTGTTTCTTCAACTATAGACACTTACTCTTAAAATACACTTATCTCCGCTGTAATTTATATGAAAAACAATGTCCAATAGTGCATTCCAGAGCTGTTATTGTAAACTAAACCTATAATTATTAAAAATCCTTTTCTTTAACTGATTTGGAAATAAAATTCCATATTAGATTAAAAATGTAAATGCTGCCTTATAAAATTTGTTTAAGTACTAAAATCACTACAACTAAGTGAGAAAAAATAAATCTAATTAGAAATAATAAAAAAAACTCATGAAAACAACAAAAGCACATAGTAAACATATGTTATAGCTAATTAAAAACATTATTGAATACTATTATTGTCTACAATAATACTAAAATAACACTGGTGGATGTACATGCATCACATTTCTGAACACTCTGTAATAATGTAATATTTACCTTGATTGCCTTTGTTTTCTCACACCTCACATCTCTTCAGCTCAAACTTCACTGATACTGTTGTCTTCTCAGTAAACAAGTAGGCCTACACTAAACATAACGGTGATTAAAATAAGATCCCATTAACCATAAGATTACATAACAATAACATCCCATTAGTTACTACATTAAATAAAAAATTAACAAAGATCAACACAGTCGTTACAGTATTTTATAATTTAATAAATTATAAGAAAACTGTTCATTACTAGTTCATTTGATCTGAAATCCATTAAATAATATTAACAGATACAGCTTTTGATTTTAATAATGTATTAGTAAATGTTGAAATTACCATTTACCGAGACTAATAAGTGCTTTTGATTGTTAGTTCATGTTAACTAATGTAATTGACTAATGTTTACAAATGGAACTGTATTGTAAAGCTGCCAGAAACAATAACTCATTCCTAATCAAGCCAGACTTTGACTTTTATGAGAGCCGTTACCTGTATTAAGGTCTCATATAAAAGACGTAGTGCATATCTGCTGGGTAATTGAGTATGTACTGATAATGCACTGTTGTTTCACTAAAGAGAGCTTCAACGAGAAAGTGCCGGTAAGCTTTTTGTTTATCGATCAAACAGCTAGTGAGCTGCCTACCTAGGCATTGTGAGGTCTAAAAATGCTATTTAGATTTTGAACTACGGGCCTGATAAGGCTGCTGTCCTGTGCAATGACACAGCAATGTTTCCAATGACCCTAAAAGTGACATTTACCTGGTTTTATCACACATTCATCAAGTTTAATAATTTAAGATTGCACATCTGGGTCTGGAACAAGGGTGCAATAAAAATGCTAAATAATTAACCAAAAAGTTTCCAAAACACTTTCAGTTTCGCATTCACATTATAAAAACACATACAAGTGCATGTAGATGGAGAAACACACAATTGTCCAGCTTAAACTCTACAGAAACAGATTTCTGGTTTGCATGACTCCAGGCCTGACCTGATGACACAGCTGTTACTCTGACTCCTCAACACACAACATGTCCAGCTCTATGTGAAGCTGTGAATGCACAGAAAACTGATTAGACGAGCTTATGTAAGGGGTCACAGATCAAGACGGGATGACCTCTCACCCCTGCTGAGTCTTTGACGAAGTAGCTGCCGCTGGAGCCCTGGTAGATGCGCTCGGGGTAGATGCCCTCCTCCATGGCCCGCTCCGCCTTCCGGATGATCTCCCTGAACTCCGGATCCTCCGGGAACTCGTTCCTGTGCGGGTCGCGGGGCGACGCGCCTCGGTCTCGGTCCAGGAGCGGCTGCCGCTCGCAGCTGCGTCCTGGACTCCCGGCCGGCAGACGCACCACGGAGCCCGGCGTGCCTCCAAATCCGGCGCGGGGACTGGCGGGCTCGGCGGGACCGTAGCTGAAATCGTTGGAATCGCAAAGCGGAGAGACCAGCGGGCTCGTCTCGTCCATGACCAAGAAGGAGAGAGGAGGAGAGCGGGAGGAAAAGGGGAACTACGCGGGACAAGCGTTG